TGTGGATGGTTTTTTCCTTCAATCCCAGTGATTCCTTCATTTGACCAGTGTCTGATGGTGACACACAGGCTGAATTCTGGCCTGTGGTTCCTGTTCGTGGCTGGTTATACGTTCACATCCTGACTCGATGTAGCTGGTGAAAAGCAGCTCTGTTGCTTTCTAGGTGCTGAATCAACGTTTCTTATTTTTGTGGAATCTGAGCTTTGTGGAAAAAATCACAAAGATGTTTGGAAGTGGTGAAATCTAAGATCAGCATGTGAAGAAAGCAAAATATATGCAGGTGCACATGATCCTTGCATGCCTTAATAGTAATTTACTCTTCATGCTATTTTGATTTAACTGAGAGATTAAATGATCCTCCATGAGGCAGTTGAACAAAGACCCAGAAAAGCTTTTAAAATTAAACACGAGGCGCACATGCCTGCGATATGAGATTTGTTGATATAGGCCTGTTTCTGTGGGCTACTCCTGTTTTTGTGTGGGCCCACACTTCCCAGAGAGCACGGCCCTGTGCTTGTTGCCTGATCTGCAGTGCCGTGTTTTGCTAGTGTCAGGCTGGAGATGGTTCCCACTGAAGCTGAAGGCACCAGGGCAGCATGGAGCCTGTTTGTCCCTGGTCCGGCCCAGGCAGCTGGCTCCAGGTTTTGGAGGCCCTTTCGTGGGCCCCCAGTCCCAGGAGTCCCGTTCTCATCACTGTTGTCACTGGCTGCTACTGTCTTCCTTGCTCATCTCTGCCACCATTTATTTTGCCGATTGGCTGAGAGCCATGTGGCCAGTGGCCATCAGCATCGCCCTCACTGTCTGGACCAGAGCAGGAGGCTGATGATCAAGCAGGCTGGGACAGTGGAGGAGCAACTCCAGGGGCTTCTTGTCTGTTGGCCCCTGCCGGGGGTTGGGGCAGCCTCAGCGGGTGCCCAACCATGCCTGCTTTGGATGCCTGCCCTGTAGCTGGCGGAATAGCCTCTTCCTGGGAACTTGGGAAAGCAAGGGGAGGCGGGGAAGCCGGCCTGGTCACTGGTTGGGATGCACCAAGCCTCTCCGGAATCTGGCTCACGCCTGCCCATTGGAATTCTTCTGGTGCTTGTCCCTCTCTAAGGAAGCAGTTGGAGCCCAGAAGAAGTCCATGTTGGTATACCCCCAGCGGTGCAACCAGCTGCCGTTCCTGGTGGCCAGGCTTCTTCCCCACTTGCTGCTGTCAGTGGCAGTCGTGGGAGTGGAAGAGCGGCCCTGCTTATGCCGTGTGTGGGGCTTGGTTCTTGGTGAGTGCCATGCAAACGCTGAGCACATATACCAGGAATTTGGACTCCGGACTGCTGCAAAGTCAAGGAATCTGGCAGATTTTCTGCCCAAAGCAGATTCCTTCCCCTTCCCTCGCCACTGATCATGCATGATGGGAGGTGTCATCCAAAAATAACCAACTTGAGGGCCACTCTTGCGTTCAAGGCCTCTAGGGACTGGAGGTGACAACTTGGGGTTCTGGTTGACTGCAGGCTAAACATGAGTCAGCAGTGTGATGCAGTGGTCAAGAGGGTGAACGCCACCCTTGGTTGCACAGCCAGAAGTGTGGCTTCTAGATCAAGAGAGGTATTACTGCCACTCTCTACGACTCTGGTGCGCCTGCCACTGGAGTATTGTGTTCAGTTTCGGCATTGCAAGGAAAGCTGTATGAGGCGACACTGAGGGAACTGGGTCTCTTCAGCCTGGAGAAGAGGAGACTCTGAGGGGATCGGTTGGCGACATACAGGTGTGTGAGGGGATGTCACACGGAGGTGGGTAGAGACCTGTTCTCCCCTGCAGAGGAAGGCAGGACATGCTCCAACAGAGCAAAGCTCAGGGAGCCAAGGTTCCATTTGGATGCCAGGAAGCACTTCCTGACAGTCAGGACCCCGAGGGTGTGGAATGGGCTTCCACAGGAGGTGGTTGAAGCCCCATTGGTGAGGGTGTTCAAGGATAGGCTGGACACGCACATGGTGGGCATGTCATGAGCGGAGCCGGCTAGAGCCGGGCGTCAGACTAGATGGGCCAGGAGGCCCCTTCTGACTCATTCTGTTTCTATGTTTCTAACTCTGGCCTTGCTTTGCCAGAGAGCTCTTCTGACTCCTCCACATATCTGGGATTTGTATATCATCTCCAGGATTGTGCTGAGATATTGAGAGACTCTCCAGGACCAATATTTTCCCATCCATTCCTTTGGGCCAGTTTGGTCTCTCCTCCCTTTCCCACCAAATACTTTCACAAGCTCATAAGCAGTGTTGTGAAACCTCAGCCCTTCTGCAAGAAGTTCATTTCCTTCTCAGTGAAGGCCAGCTGCCATATGAGACACTGGGAGGCACCAGTTAGCTCTGGCTCAGTTGCACAAATATTATCTGACACAGTAGTGCATGTTCCCTCTAAACTGGTACTTTTCACTCTGTGATCTGTCACGCTACTTTTGTCGCACAACAATGGGCAATTGTGCATGTGCCACAAGAAGGCCAGAAAAAAGAGCCACTGTAAAACAAGCCAAGGTTTGCTGCTGGTAATGATGGAAGAGAAGAGGCGTGGCTCACAATCCGTGTGTTTTGAAGTGCAGAAGAGAATCTGTTTGCTGGCATGACCTGCCGCAGAGGTTTTACGACATGGCCTTCAAAACATATATTACCTTACCACAGGGCACGTGTTAGAGATTGGCGTTGGTGGACACCTTTTGATGCCAATACCCCAACAGGGACCCCTTTGGGCATTACTTTCCAAGGAGCAAAGTGAAGGAGTAGCAGCTTCACATCAATACGACCCTGTTCTTCTGCCTGGCTGCACAGGCCATGCCCCAAAACAAAGGGCAAGTAAATGAGCAAAAGCCACAAATGAAGGTCTTTGCTGTGTGTGGGAAGATGTGTGGACTCCAGGCCACTTGCTGAAGCTCACTTAGGAGCAGCACTGGAGTAGACCCAGTTTACATGTTTGTCAGCAGCTTTGCCTATCCAGGCAGAGCTGGGATCCAGGCCTTGATGCTGCCAGGACACCCAAGCTACCGGGAATGGGAGAAGGTGTTTTGATGACTTTTATGATATGTAAGCCCTTTGCCACATCCCTCTGATCTGAAGGACAATCTGGGAGGCAGGGTTGAGGAGCGAGCCAGAAGTCAGGAACGTTGCAGGAATTCTCCAGAGTTCAGGAAAACCTGGTTGCTCAAGCAAAGTCAACTGGAACAGGAAGTTCTCTTATACTTCTTCCTGTGCAGGAGGATGCAAGGCCATCATGGGGAGAAAAAGTCAGTCCTGGGCCTGACCTCACTTCACTGAGAACCTGCCACTTGGGGCAGAGTTCACAGGTCTCAGAAGTTCCTACCAAAAACTTCTGAGCATCCCGGCACCAAAGCTCAAAACTCTGGTTAATTTGGGGTATTTCCATCATAGGGGTAGCATCCATCTGAACACAGTTTCCATTAGCTGACATGGATGCGAGCTGCCAACAGACCTTTTCTGCATGAACTTCTCTCGCCGCTAGTGGCCATCTGAGCATCCTGTAGTAGGAACCTTTGAGCAAGACTAGTCTGGTTGTGCAGTCCTGCAGAGGAGTGGAACAATCAGTGCCACATACGAGAAGCATCTGTTGCCCTCCCATTGCATTGGATGGCCGAGTGCTTTGGTGTACTACCTCCCCATGGTACAGGAAGAACAGGGGAGTGGAAGATCTCTCCCGAGGCTGAAGACAGAGATGGGAAAAGTGTAGTTCTCTAGTGACAGTCTGAGTATGGCTTCCATCAGACTGTGCTGTTTCAGGCTGTGAATTCTGTCCCTGTGCTGTGATGGATTTGGGTTCTGTTATGGGTCAGAACTGCAGCAGGGGCCAGGTTAGGTCAAGCACTTCAGAAAAGCAAGATGGGAAGCAATCAGCACCAGAGAACGTGCTGTGTGTGTGCGCTGGCGAGATTCCCAGGCGCAGATGAGCAGCTGACCGTTTTGGTGGGACTGGTAGCTCAGAGTCTGAGGATGAGGGGGAGCTGGCTGAACCAGACGAGGCTCAGAGCTCAGACTCTGATGACGGCATTGTTGTTGGAACGGGCAGGCCTGCACCTGCAGGCCCAGTCTCTCAGGACCCGTCTGAGACCCTTGGGGCCCAGTTTCCCCACCGGTGGGAATGAAGGACCAGAACATTCTGAGGGAGACTTGAAAATGGGTGGTCCCTTGGATCCTCCTGAAGAGCTGGACCCAAGGGCACGTAATCACAGCCACAGGGTGGCCCAATTAGGGGCTCGGAGGGCAGAATGCAGGCGCACCTGCTTCCACGGCACCCCTCCTTCCAGAGACAGTCCCCGAAGGGTTCATAAGCAAAGCTTTGGGTACAGGGGGGCAGAGAGGGTTCAACACCTCACTTTGTGTATGCTCAGAGGCTTGTATTCTATTTAGAATGAAAACTCTCACAAGAAGTGCTGGGGAGGGAACACCAAGCTCACAGCAGAATGCGCCAAACGGTTCTGGGCTGGAGACTAGGCGTGATGGTTGACATGTTGCTCCGACAAGGAGCGTGACAAGACCGAGCCATTGGTCTGCTGGAATCTTGGCTGTGTGCCTCTGCCTTACACTGACTCTGTGTGTGTCTTGATGGTCAGAGTCCTCAGTGGTAACTTTTGGATTCAAGGGACCCAAATCCTGCCATCTTTCTGAAGAACCAGGTCCTGGATAGTCTGAAGCCCTCATGATGCATCTGCTGATCAGTTAACTCTGAACATTCTTAAGGTCTCAGGTCAGGATCCTCGGGGGATGAGGTTTGGGGTCCTGGTTCATGGCATAGCCTAAACCGGTACAGTCAATCATGGCAATTGAAGACCAGTAAGTTATGGTGGGTCGCATCTACCCTGTCTTTGCCCCAGAAGAATCCCATGCCTTGCACGTTGCTTTGGTTAGGAGCAAGACCCTTTGGTTATGCAGCAGCAGCAAAACAGAAAATATAGATGAAAGCACAGATAACCTTTTATGCACATGCATGAAATATAGTAAAGGTAAGAATGCAACCATAAGTTACAGTAAAAATGTTTATTTAACCGGTTGCAATAGTACCCGGAGTTCAACCACTTGTGTCAGGTACAGTACAAAAAATATTTTATCCTTGACATTTCCATCCTTTAAAAAAGGGCTTAAACAGCCATATTACATAAAGTGAAATGTACGAAACCCCGAAAGAATATGCTTCTCACATGTCAAGACCTTGTTTACTATTATGAATTATGTGATGAACTATTACAAAGACTGAGACAGTACTTGCTTCAGCACAGCCATCAAGAAGAGAGGCAGAACTTCTTACAGATAGACAGAATGAAGAGCCCTTTAAAAGACTGGGAGAAATATTTTGGCATGACGTTTTGCATGCTTTTGGTTGTTTGCTTTGCCTGTGATGGGGGTGGTAATAAACGCTTCAGTGACTTTTTCTGACCTATCACGATGTTCCTGAAAACTCTGGAAAGGGTTAAAGCTCTGTTGCGGAGCAGGTAAGCATAAGGTCTCAGGTTTAATTGCCACTCTCTCCGGGTAGGGCTGGGAAGGTTTTCAGCCTGAAAGTCCAAACTCCCTCCAGTTTAGTTGCATCCAGACTAGGGAGTCTTCAGGATTAACTTGTGTTCATTAGAACTCTGAAATCCATCAGCTAGTGCGTGGTGCAGATGAATTATGGGAGCAAACCTGTGGCCCCCTCAACACCGTCTGAGGGACCCTAGGGTCCTTCAGCTGCCCAGCTCTGAGCCTGAAGACAGTCCTCCAGCCTCAAAACTGGGAATCAGTCTGACCCCCTTCCTCACCTCTGATGTATTAAATAGAATTAGAATGATATGACTTGGCGTACTTGTGCAAAACGTTTGAGCACCCCATTCAGAAAAATCAAGGTCTTTTTTCTGACATTCCAAATTTGCTCAATGGAAAGAAAAAGTCAGAATTGCAATGATAGAGGGGGAAAAAAGCTTTATCCCTAGAAGGAGCCTACTGTATTTTGGTCCTGTACCATACATTGAGGCCTTCATTGTGGGTTAAGATTTCTTTAAAAAGTGCCTGCAGAAGTCTCAGAAAGACAACTCTTGTGGCTGCTGAAAATGGGCAAATTTCCTGTCTCACTTTTCCTAATAGTAGGGTCAGTCTTGAAGAGAAGAAAGGTGCATCTACATTCAGACTTCCTAAGAGAACCATCCTGTCGTGTTTAGACAGCATCAGAAGGGCCATTGGATATTCTGGATTCTCCTCTCTGAGGTTGGAGTCAACACTCCAAACTCAGAGCTGGAATTGGAACTCTGCCCCCTAATCCTGTGAAGAAAGTATTGTGTCCACTGCTCTCCAAGGTCCCAAAAGCAACCTCAAAGTGGAGGCAGCTGGATACTCTCCCTCCCTCCCTCTCCGAAATGCCCCAGTGAGATGTGCAGAACAGCCCAACTAGCAAAAATTCAGGGCAGCAAAGGTCACTTCAAACCCCCCCCCCCCACAAATCTTGCATAGGATGAAAAGAACCCTCTGAATTTGGGGGCTTATGAGCATCCTATAAGAGCTGCACCCTGTTTCTTTCTACAGCCCTGCTTCCAGAATCTGGAACAACTACGAAAATGGCAGCATTGCCGTGTGGCCTATTTGGGACAAATAAAGGCCACTTTTTGTGTTCAAACCATGTTCCTTGAGTGGAGGCAGGTGGGAGCTGGATGAAGGCAATAGCAGGTAGCAATAAATCAACTCCTATACCACAATTATGAAAACATACATGTTTTATAGAAATGTGTCCCAGTGGGAAAAACACTGCATATCACTGCATGACAACTGAAAAGCCAAAATTAAAGCACTGTATATGTACAGAATATTCACAAGTACATTTGTTCCACATTAATAATACTATTATTAATATTTGTATTAATATTTGTATTCTGCTCTTCCTCCAAGAGCTCAAAGCAGTGCACATGAGATTTCCTCACAACAGCCCTGTGAGGTAGGTTGGGCTATGGATAAGTGAGCACAGATCTGAACCAAAGCCCTTCAGCTCTCTATCAACTGCACTGTATCACATCTCATATTTATCATATTGGACAGTAATAAGTGGTAGAGTTAAAACTGCCTATATATTTTATATAACATATAGGCAGAGTTAAACTGCCAATCTTAAAAGCAATCTACACTCGGTTTTCATATAGCCATTGATCCGGAGCAGCTTTTGCCAATGTGGCCGACAACTCCAATCAGGCTTAGGATGATAAGAATCAAATGCCAACCCCAGAATTAGGGTCCAGAAGGGCTTCCCACCAAGAGGAGCAGCTCCTCCAAGTTTCTGCTGGGAATTTTCTGCACATTTGAAGTGCATAAAATAAAATGCATAAAATGCATGTTTTGTCTTTCCACCTCCAAATCAGCCAGGGGCCTGCCTTCCTTTTGTCCCACCCCATGAGAAACTATGGGCAAGACGCAACCAACTCTTTTCCTGTTGGTCACTTTACCAAACAACAGGAAACAAAAGGGTTGTCTTTTCAGCATCCTGCCAGAACCAGCCCAGTGAGGTAGCCAAGAGGAGCTCTGCTCCTGGTCTCTAGGTGGGGAAACTAAGGCAGCAGAAGCAATGTTGGAGTCCTCGCAAGATACTGGATCGGGGCCCTTGCCCCGGGTTTATGGCAGCTTTGATGTTCTTGTAGCAGCCAAAGGAACCAGCCACTTTCGCACAGACGGGGCCAACTGAAAAGCAAAACCTTCCCGCTTTGCTTTTGGACTCCACGACTGCCTGGCAGTGCGGGGCCAGTGATGCCGCCTCCAGATCCCCATGAACAGCGGCCGCTTGAATGCAGCAAGTGGGAAAGAGCGATGCTCAAGGCACAAGACTATGACATCCGGATCGATGCAAACAGTGAGGTGGGTGGCTGTCCTGTATGAACACCAAGGTCCAGTACACCTGGGAGGGTTTTGTAATCACCACTGGATAAGTTGCCCTTGATGTACAGAAGCGCCTGCAGGTGTTTCTTGCTGTAAAAGAGAAAACAGCAAGCATTAGTTGTAATATGGGAGCATCAAGAAAGAACATGGTGGAGCAGGTGATTAGCCTGGATTTATATGCATCCCACTATTTATTATTATGGTTATATCCCACCTTTTTCCTGCAAGGAACCCAAGTCAGCTCACATAATTCCCCTGCTCCATTTTATCCTCAAACACCCCTATGAGGTAGGTTAGGCTGAGAATCAGTGCCAGCCCAGTCACCCAGCGAGCTTTATGCCCAAGTAGGGACTAGAGCCAAGTTCTCCCAGTCCCTGCCCAACTACTAGGCCAGCCTGACAGGTGAGAGTAACATGTTCAAAGCACATCAAGGTTAGCCATGCAATTCTGACAACCCACCTACTTTCACTGGCCTTTCCATAGTCCGTGAGCTGCAGGTTTATGGCTGCTATTTGTGTTTGTTTTTAACAGTCACATTTTATTTACACAGCATTTTACTGAATATTTATTCTCGTTTATTTTCATTTTGTATAGCTTTGTATTGTTTTTATCTCTGACACTACCTTGAGAAACTCTCTACAATAATCTCTCCATATCCCCACTCCCACACAAACAGGAAAACTTCGTTTAACGGGTTCTTCTTGTTGGAGAGGGATCAGAGTGAGCCTTTTGATTTCGTCACTGGCTCAAGGCCAATGGGAAAGTAGGCCTGCCTTTGCTCTTCACGTGAACTTTCCCTGCTTACCTGATATCGGGATAGTTGTTCGCAAGTACGCCAACTTCCACCATGATGGCGTCTGTATCTTGCAGCCTGATAATTTCAGCCAGGCTTGGAAGAGCAGAATTCAGCCATGAGGCTTTGGAGCCCTATGGAGACAAAAAAGGTATACAGGGTTACCCATCATGCTAATTCTGCCTGCCTAGCAACAGCGGTTCATGCTCTAATAACTTCTTGGTTATGTTACTGTAACGGCTCCATGCGAGGTTGCCCTTGAAAACAGTCTGGATAGTTCAACTGGTAGGAAATAATGCTGCCAGGCTGCTGATGGGGACCGGCCATTATTCTCATATAACACTGGTCCTCTGCCAGCTTCACTGGCTTCCAGTTGAAGTCCGTGCCCAATTCGAGGTGCTGGTTTTGACCTATAAAGCCCTTGGGACCGGGATACCTGAAGGAACGTCTCCTTCCTTACACACCCTCACGCCCCTTAAGATCTGTGGGAGGGGCCCTGCTCCGAGGACCCTCCTTGAAGGAGGTAAAAAGGGCATCTACTCAGAGTAGGGCCTTTTCTGCGGTAGCACACAGACTGTGGAATGCCCTCCCCAGAGAGGTTTGCCTGGCGCCGAGCCTATATTCTTTTTAGCGTCAGGTTAAAACCTTTTTATTTAAATACCATTTTAAGAATTAGATTTTTTAGATTTTTAAACTTAACAGTCACATTTTATTTACTTTATTATTTTATCCATTGTTATTTATTTTTTCATGATTGTGATTTATTCTCTTTTGTTTATTATTGGTTTAATGTTATCCTGTTAGTAAGTTTTGTATTTATTATAATCTATTTATTATATTATGGATTGTATTTTTATTGTTTTGATTTTATACTCTGTCAGCCGTCTTGAGACATTTGTGAAAACACAGGATAAAATATGTTTTATTAAATTAAAATTAAATTAATTCATGAATATTCTAAATTCTCCCATCTATGTACTTGATGGATGCTCTAAAAAGAGAATCCTGGAATTAGAAAGGGATGGAGTCCTGTGGAGCCCACATCCTTCCCTGAAACAAAGATCTACTCCAAGTTAGATCATGAGATAACCAATGCCACCTATTTAGCTTTATGGTAGGTTGGAGTAATTTGGGCCCAGATCCCTCCAGCCCATCTTTTATTATGCTGTCTGAGGCTGATGGGAGTTGTAGTCCAACACATCTGGGAGACACTTTGTTGGGGAAGACTGCTTTAAGGGAAGGTCCAGACTTCAGTGGTAGAGCTAAGGATGGGTGGATCTGTGCCATTTCTGACTGTGTCTTTCTTATATACGAGTATATCCCTTTACAAGTCCGTTTTCCTCTGTATTTGTATTCAATTACAATTTAAAAAAAATCTTTGTGAAAATATATATTTAGAAACATAGTTTTGAACACCATTTCTCACAAAACATGCAGTTATGTGCATATTTGGACCCAAAGTATGCATTCCTAAATGCACTTTATCCTAACGTTTGCATTCTGAAACGCATCTTGAGGCAGGCTTGAGCTGCAGACTTAACCTCAGCATTGGGGCAGCTCTGCTGCAGCTTGCGCATTGCTTCCGGAGGAACAGACAAGGCGAGTCTGCAAAGCCTGCAGCTTCTCATGAACACCCAGGACAGACCTCATGCTTTGCCTGCAGGTGGTCACATCCGTCTCTGGCCTCTCCAGTGGAACCGGGGGGAGGCAGCTCAATTAGGGGAGGCAGAGGTCAGCAGCCGTGTTCTCCCAGGTGGGGGCCATGCCCTGGCATCATCTGGTTCAGACAACGAACCAGGCTGATGACCCTGGCGCTGGCTGCATGGTGTGAGGTGCTCCCTCCTTCGTGGAACTGAGTTTCATAACAAGTTGGATCTCCAACTGTCCTGAAGTCCAGGGTGCAGCCAGTCAGTTTGTTTACCCTCCCCGCTCCCCAGTTTTCTGCCTCCACTCCCAGTCCGTCAGTCTTCTGCAGTTATGCAGCATACTTCATCCTTGCTTGGCTAACCCCAAACCCCTTTAAGGATTTTTCCTCTAAATATTTTTCTTATTTTTCTTACTACTTTTGGGATTCCCCCGAGCCTGCTTTATACCTCCCCTCTTGAGCCCATGTGGGGCTCTGCTGGCTACATAAATATTCAACCCTCCTGTAATGTCAGAAATATAGGGAATCATGCCTTTTCAGTGTTCCCCAAATATCCAATGTCCGACAGAGACAAAATGGATCTTTCCCCTTAATTTCAGACATTCTGTCTTTGCTTCCCTGTCCTATAAAAAGCACACAGAAATCCAACACTGAATCTCGACTCCAGCTTAGCTTGTTTACAGTTCAAGCTGTAACTATGCGGGGATGATACGGTCACTTCTTCCACAGAGACTTTTAATAACTGAATACAGAAACAAAGCGGAAATTCAGGGGAAAAAAGAGTGGCTGGATCCAAACCACAGCAGACATAATTGATCGAGAATGTGCCCGACCCAGTAAGCCAAAAGGAAAAATAGGCGCAGAACAGGGCAAACTGCTTGACTGCTACTGTCTAAGCACAACTAAGAGTTAGATCCTACTGCAAAATTTGGACACCTCCAACCTCAGAAGCTTACAGCCTGCAGGATGAAGGCGCAGCAAAGGCCTTTTCGCCTCCCACCCTGACTGTCTTCTTGGGCTGTTTCAGAGGGGAGGGGAAGACGGCTGGAGAGCTTTCAGGATAGCTCAAATCCTAGCCTCTCTGGTTTTCTCCCCTCCCCACCTGCCACTCACCCCCCTTTTCTCCTCTCCAAGGTTGATCGCGCATCCTTGGAGAGCTGCTGCTGGCACATATTTCTGCACCAGCAGCAGCTTCCATCTTCTTCCCAGTTTCCAGTTTCTTACCATTTCCATCTTCTTCGCTACAGATTTTCAGTAGGACACACAAAGGCAGAAATGCACTCAGACGTCTTTGCTTGAACCCTCAGCAACCTGTATGCCCATTCCCTGAGCCAACCACTATGTTATCACTGCCAGGTAATGGCCACTTTTTAAAAGCTAAGCCAAACTCTCCCATTCGCTAGGAAGTTGCCTTATATCAGGATAGTAGATTGCCCGATGTTTTGCATGTCAGTTCCCAGAAGCCCCTGCCAGCATGGAATGCTGGGAGTCAACGTTCAAAATATCTGGAGACTGGCTTTCTGCCTATGCTTGGTGTACCCTGACTGGCAGGCAGTGTCTTTCCCATCATTTGGTACCTGGTCCTTTTAGTTGAGATGCCAGAAGTAGAGCTGGGACTGCCTGTGTACAAAATGTGTGATCTTTGCCTGAATGACTGCCTTCCCCCTAAGTCCATGGGACTTGAAAGTGCCCAGCTTTGGCATGTCCCATGGATGAAGGGGAGTGACTGCAGCTCAGGGACCGAGCACATGACTGAATGTGGCATGCAAGTATGCTCTGCAGAAGGCCAAAGGCTCAGCTGTGTGACTGAAAAGCACACTTACATGCGTTGTGCAAAAATTCTGCAAGATGGAGGCATCCTTGCGGACAAGCTCACACAAGTTGTTTTGCAGTTCTGGAGTCTTCAAGCTGACTTTCTTCCTCAAAAGCCTTGTGATATATTCGCGGACCAGATGGAGGTGAACTTTCCCCATGATAGCCTGTAGAAGAAGTAGTAAGCCGTTAATCCTCAGAGACTGGAGCAGGGGGAGATGATGACGGCATTTGGTCAGGGTTATAAAAATGCCAAGACTTTCCTTATGCACCCCACGGGTTTTTCTTAAGCCAAACTAGTTTCTATGGCCTTCAGGAGAGGTGATCTTGAGCACGGGTGGGAAACCTGCTGAGGAATTCATGTCCTTCGGCTAATCTAGTTGGGGGTGATATCTTGGCTGGGGAAACACACAGAACCAGTAGGGGATGGACTGAAAGCCAAAAGCAGATCGGTTTTGCAATACTGTCAAATGAAGGCAGCTCTTTCTCTGCTAGGCACCCCTCCTACCCCTCTCTCTTTGCAGACATGGCGGGCAGACTTGCACCTGGTCCTGGTAGCAGCCTTTGGCCTTTTGCAATGTTGAGTTACATGCATCTGTGAACTTTAAAGTGGTTCAGATTCATAGAGGGAGGAGAAATGCCGAGCTCCTCACATCTCTCCCATTTTCAGAATTAAAATTAGGAAGGTGTCTAAAGAACACTGGAAGATGCCCTAGACCTTGTGTGGGCAACTTGTGGCCCTCCGGAAGTGGTGGGTTACTACTCCCAGAATCCTTCATCATCAGCTATGCTGGTCAGGGCTGATGGGAGTTGTAGGCTTAAGCCTCTGGACAACCACAAAGGCTCAGTCCCTGCCTGAGCCTCATTTGTCTACCTAGTTCCATATTGCTTGGAGGGACTGCACCAGTTCCACCCCCAGGGTTCCGGGCTGGAAAATTCTGCCAATCAGTGTAGTAAACACAGGGCTACATGGCCCAGGGCCGGTTCAAGACATTTTGCTGCCTCAGGCAAAGCACAAGAGGATTGCCATCCTCAATTGCTTGAGCAGGAGCTAATGGGACCAGTAGCTCCATCTCACCTCAACACTGGCAATGGGTTCCAGTGCTAGCTCAGGAGACACATGACTCCATCCTCCAAGCCTTGCTGCCTCGCCCATGTCCCAGCATCTTTTGTCTGAGGCCACTGCCTCACTTTTGCCTTAATGGTAGGGCCGGCCTGAAGGCAGAGCAAAGGCCTGATGTGGTGAAAGGCAGAGTCCTGTATTTCTGGGTTTGCACTGGAGCCCCGAAAAGGGACTGGGGGCTTCTGGAGAACCCAGTGAGTCTGACTGGGATCCCTGAGGGTCGAAGTTCTGTACACCTGGTTTAGTCCGCTTGGTAGTGGCTCACCAGGGTTTCCAAATTGGCTCTTTCCCAGCCCTACCTGAAGATGCCAGGAGTGAACTGGTTGGAGGTGCTGCAGGAAGACGTGGGACTTGCTGCTAACTCAGCCAAGGGAGAGGGAAGAGATGGAGGAGGCCTCAGGGGCCCCCAGTGAGAGAGAGGTAGGAATCGCAGTGATTGTTCAAGAGGCCCTGCAGAGTCCACAAGAAAGCTGAGCGGGAGCAAAGAGGGAAAGGAGGAGGGTCACGCATTGCTCAGGGTGAGACAGACGGGCAAGAGAGCAGCACGGAGGAAGGTAACGTTCCACGCAATTGACTGCCAAAGAGACCCCTCTGGGGAAGGAACTGCACTGACTGCCTGACCTGAACGGGAATGCTCTAAACTCCTAGCAGGCTGCCTTCCACTCTATTCTGCAGCCTTAGCTTAAGAATTCAACCCCGCCAGATGCTCAACCAGCTCAAATCTTCTGCAGCCATGGTCTCTACGATGTCCTGCTGTGCAGCCCATAGCAAACCCAGCTTATCTGTTGCCTTTTACATAATACAAGCAAATTGGTTAAGAATGCAAACCACTGTTTTGTCTCTTGTAGGAGGCAGGGTGGCCTACGCCACTGGAAGTGTGTGTGTGTGTGTGTGTGTGAACCATGTGTTCTGCCACTCAACTTTGATTGTACCCCTAAATGAAAGAAGCTGCATTATATCCATTAAGGCCTTGGCTGGAGCAAGGTGGTAGTTGTGACACATTTTCAGTGTAAACATGCAAAGGACTGTGCCCTGAATCTATCAAGACTGCTACAGTCTCTAGTGACTTGCAGCAGCCCGCCAGGACTTCAAGGAGGAATTCAGCAGGAATCTTTGCAGTCCTGCTTGGAGATGGGCCAGACTGAACTTGCAAGAGTGTGCAATCAAAGCATGTATTAGAAAACCAAGCTCCAGCAGTTCTACAGATTGTCTTATTTGGTAGGCAACTTTAGATTTACTTATGTGGTTTCCAAAGAGGGAGTTTGGGAAGCTGACGTGTCAGTTGCGTGGGGATGCCCTGTTTCCAAGTTCTTGTTTGCAAGCCTGCTCATGAGGCATGAGAAATAAGAAATATTATTATTGTTAGAATGATTACGTTCAGGAACTAGGAGAAATATTTGATGGAAACAATGAACTTGCTCCAGAAGGGAATTCCTGCTGCACACCAGTTGACTCAAAGGAGTAACTCCATTCACCCACTGAATTTATTTTAAGAATACAAAAGTAGGAAATTCAAATAAGTGGCTCATTACTGGTGAGTTTACATTGGCAATTTCTGGAGCAGACACTGTGCAGCAGCCTTCCAAAAGAAAAGGGCGGAGGGAGGTTGTTGTCATGGAAGGGAACTCAGGGAGATGTGGTCCAGCCCTTGAACTTCTGGACGTGCAAATGTCAAGGGCAACAGATGGGCGCAGAGGACAAGTGGCTTCAGCTGGTTTGGCAGGTTAAGGTAAGGAAGCTAAGGAGATCTCTTCTTTGGGCCAACAAGCTGTGCAGCAGAAAACCTCTGGGGGCCAGGAAGCAGAAGGAAACACATTGTTATCAGTCAGGGGACCTTGGGCCACTGGAAGACTGCATCCCCTGCTCCCTAGGAATAACAGCAAACCAAAGGGAGACCCCCATGACCCATCCATCCACTAGAGGAGAAGCAGCCGCTGGGAGCTCGCCTCTCCCTTCCTGCCAGAAAGGACAGCGGGCTGCTCCAACAAGAGCCGGCTGGAGATTGCAGAAGCGAGGGGGAAAGAACGCCTGCCTTGCTCTGACCTTGAAAAACTTTCCTCCTGCGTCTTCTCTTCTCTGCTCTTTGCTTCCACTTCCCTGTGCATTTTTTCATTGTGGTTTATATATGTGCATATAAGCCAGAGTTTCTTTGTATCCACGAAGAACTTTATGTTCAAAACACATTTAATGGCAGGGGTTCTTCATACTGGTTTAGGAATTATAGCACTGTATTTTTACTGTTTAGTCGACCTATCTATGTCAGTAAGCATGGCAATCATTTAGACTTGTGTCACTGTCACTGGTTTGTTTATCCCTATTTTACTGAATGGATTTTGCTGTTGGGATAGACTGTCCTGTTTCAGTTTAGTAAGACTGATGGCAGGGTTTCTCTCTCTCTCTCTCTTCCTTCATTAATGCCACTTTTGGAGACAATCATGGCCTCAAAAAAAGGGACAAAAATCAGTGAATTCGGGATAGAACTGGGAATCCTGGATCACTGCAGGACATCAAGGGTAGAAAAAGACGGTCCGGCAATTACAGTTGGTACAGAATAGGGTCGCTCAGTTGGTGACGGGAGCACCTAGAGCTTCCTACATAAAACCCACACTGAAAGATCTCCACTGGTTACCAATTGTGCCGCAGGCCCAATTCAAGGTGCTCGTGCTGACATATAAAGCTCTAAACAGCTTAGGTCCCAGTTATCTTAAGGAGCACCTGCACCCCCATGTGCTTACCTGGCCTTTGAGATCTACGCAGGGGGACCTCCTGTGTGAGCCACCCCTCAAGGAGGTGAGAGGGACGGCCGCTAGGAAGAGCAGGGCCTTTTCTGCAGCGGCTCCCATATCTAGAATGCCCTCCCCAAGGAGAGTCGCCTGGCTCCTTCTTTATACTCTGAGGCGCCAGGCAAAGGCCTCTCTTAAAAAAAAAAAAAAAACTTTAATGATTAATGCCATTTGACCTTGTCTTGTAATTCTGCCTGTGTTTCTCATCAACCTGGGTCTCTGCCAAGCGTCAAGTCTGGCCTTTTTCTCCTGGATGTCATATCAGCCAAAGCTACATCCCATGAGTGGATAAGGGCTAATGCACTGAAACTCAGCCCGTTCAAAGCAAGATTGCTGAGAACAGAAAGCTCTTTGGATCTGGGGATGGGGAATTGCCCTGGTTTGGGGGAGCTCCCCTGGATGGCATTTAAAGGGGCTGGGCTGACTTTGGCTTGAATGATTTGCTGTCACATTCTCCTGCAAGGAGAACTCTATGGCCCATCACTGGACCGTAGATCTCCAAAGGAGAAGTGCGCACTTGAGATTTCCAAGGTCTACCAAGTTGCCTGCAAGTTGTCAGCGTTCCTGCGAGTAATGCTGGACTAGGTGAACCTAGCTGATGTAATTGTGGTTTTATTTTGCACTGTTTTTATGCTTGTTCTGTGTATGATGTCTTGCACACTGTCCAGAGAACTTCAACTGCTGGGCAGTTTCAAAGTACAGTAAGAAAGTAAATGATTTTTTAATTTTTACATGGCTTGATCCTTGGCAGAGCAGAGTTGGCTCAGTGGTCAAGCACATGTTTTGCATGCAGAAGATCCCAATCCCAAATTTAATCTTTGGCAGCTCCAGCTAAGGCTGGAAAAGATTCCTATGTGAAATCCTGAAGATAAATTTCCAGTCAGTAAAGGCCAGGGTTGCTGAACCTCTTTCGACCCAGAAGCCCAATGCAATATCAGAGGGGGCTGCATTCCCTGATGGGGGGCAGGGCGGGGGTGGGGCAAAGCCAACCACCACCTCTCTCTCATGCAATCAGCCTAATCCTGCCTCTAAATACATGCACTCGTGGCATTTTTGTCTTTTGTAAATGGGTTGTGTAGGCTTTTGTAAAGTTTCAAAAACATGCAAGACCTGTTTGTCCAGATGCAACAGGGAGACAGAGCAAATGTGAACATATGCTTTGGAAAATAAGGTCTTCCTCAGCCTGTTTTAAACTTTCTTATAAACAAATTCCTTTCTCCGCCCTTCAGCAAACTGCAGCTGGCTCTCAGCAATGCTACCACCATGCTTGGAAATGCATAAGTGACATCCTTTTCAGTATCCCATACCAGCTTACCTCCTGAAGTGGGTCCTTGAAAAACCTGAAGATAGAACTATGGAAGCAGGTGACTGCTATAATTTCATCAATAATGTCAGTGCAGGATATCCATTTCTTCTGGGTGAATTTTCTAAAAAGAGGCTAAGGAGAGTTTTAAAACAACATGGTTCAACTTTTGGAAAGCAAATTTTGGTGTACTTCAAATATATTAAAAATGAGAACTGAACTTCTTTCAAAGCACTGGTGGCTGTTAACTATGGGATGTTGCTTTAGCTATGAATTGTCTTGTAGACAAATTGTGACCTCCCCCCACCCCCCATCAGGTTTGTGTCCTACCCACTTTACCGGTCTCCTGAATGGTTTTGTTTTCAGGCTGCTCCTGCAGGCAGAACTGCAAACAAGCCAGAGACAAATCCACAGTTCTGGGTTCAGACATCAGAACAAGCCACAGTTTAAACAAGCCAGAGTTTGTAAGTCAACAAGAAACTATGGCTTCTATTTCTGGTTTATAGCTGATTTACAAGCATGTTTGCAAGCATGTCTTTAGACACAACAATGAGTAAGATTTCAACAGATCACACTATGGTTTACTGTTATGTGAGAATCAAGCCACTAACTAACATTATTTGTGTTATTAAAGAACAACAACAGCTCAGGACTATTCCACTGATCCTTCTTTTAGGCTCAGAGCATCACAAAATGTGGATGGCAGAAGAGGGGAAAGGGGTGAATTTTTCTGTTCCATTCTTTTAACTGACTGGGCAGCTTTTTTTCCGGAAGAAGCACTTTGCCCCGCTGAATATATGGTGAACATATATTGGCATGTAGCAATTCTGTAGGATTACCTGCAGCTCTAGGAACAGGCCATGAAGGAGTGCTTCAAACCCAAGGTTCTGGATTTCATTCAGGGTGGTAAAAATTTTCTCTTTGACTTCCTTCTGTGTGGACACTGTGCTTTCTTCTGTATGGGTCCTGAAGGAACAACAGGGAAGACTCCAAAGTTTCATTCTAGAGTCCTTTAAAAAGTCAGCCCCCACCTTTACCTCTGTGCTTACACATGAATCAAGACCAACATGATTGCTATAGCCAGGTAAACAACACCTGAGTTGTGGGACGCTGCCAGGTATGCATGCTTAGCATTAAGTGTGCAATCCTATACATGTTTAGGCAGAAAAAAATCCTACAGCTTTTGGGGAGTTATAGGACTTTTCCCCATACAAATGTGCATAGGATTCAGGACAGAAGCAATAGCTCACATTACTTTGCAGAAGGGAATGCAAACCAAGGAAAGATATAACAACCAATTGAATATAGGGATTTCCATACATGAATGGATTTGCATACAGGCAGCAGTATTTCTAAAGCAAGAACCACACTTCCTTTTTAAAGGATGCACACATGATGTATCCATAGCAAACATCTCAGAAGAGGCATGACATGGGTGCGACAAACCCCCGCCCACACACACACCCATGTGCCCCAGCTACTGGTGATCATAGGGCATGCTACCTCTGAACTTAAAGGCAGCATATTGCCATCAGGACTAGTAGCCATGAATTGCCTCCTCCTCCATGTATTTGTCTGATCCCCTTTTAAAGCCCTCCAAACCAGTGGCCATTGTAATAGCTCACATGCTTATGTATTATATTTAAATCTCACAGTACACTGGAAAATTATAGTGACAATCTGTTCTTACCGAAAACTCAAGCAATTGTTAACATTTGCAATTATTGTTGCGCCATAATATTGATGCAATTTGTTTTCCTTAATAAAACTTTCCATCTTCTTCTTGTAACTAGAAACACCACAGAAAAAAAGAAATAATGCTTAGTAACTTTGCACGGGGATCAATGCTTGCTATGACATGAAATTTATTTATTTATTTAGGGAACTTCTATGCCGCCCCATTCGCTGAAGCCTCGGGGTGGCTCACAAACATAAATAAATAACATCATAAAACAATATAATTTAACAGTATGAATTAAGTCACCCTGTCCAAAGAATAAAATAAATAAATAATATTAACAATTAAAAGCATCCTGAAAACATGTTATCCCACCTTTGCAGAAAGACCAACAGTTCTTCCAGAAGTAGGACTGACATTTCTTTGCCCAGTTCTGGCGTAATATCTTCAGCACGCTTGTATGCGCCATAGATAGTCTAAAATATTTAAAAAATCAACTAATAAGCACCATAGCTCCAAATTGCAAGGCGATCAAACCAGTCAGTCTTACAGGAGATCAACCCTGACTGCTCTTTAGAAGGCCAGATACTGAAGATGAAACTCAAATACTTTGGCCACCTAATGAGAAGGAAGGACTCCCTGGAGAAGAGTCTAATGCTGGGAACTATTGTGGGCAAAAGAAGAAGTGGGCGGCAGAGGATGAGGTGGCTAGATGGAGTCACTGAAGCAGTCAGCGTGAGCTTAAGTGGACTCCGGGGGATGGTGGAGGACAGGAAGGCCTGGAGGAATGTTGTCCAGGGGGACACGACTTTGCAACTAAAGAAACAAAAATAGCTCCAAATATTGCAAGACCCGTCATTCTGTGAACATTAACATTCTTATTCCCTTCGAGAACAAACACAGGTGGTTGCATGCCTATCATTTTAGAAACCAAATAGGACCACCCCAAAATAAGGGGGTGGTTCTTGAAATTGATATAAGAAAACACTTTTGCCTCCAAAAAGCACCACAGAATATACTTTCCACAAAATATAAATGGGTGACAGACAGAGAAACCCGGCCAGACAAACAAAATCCCCACCCACACCACACCTTAAAAAAAGGCAGCGCACAAACACACATGCCAAGCAAAACACCAGAATGGCTGCTGCAACTTACTGTAGAATTTATTTTTCCTAGGTAAGAGGGAAAGTGTGTTAGTTTTGCTTTCAATTCTCTGGGAGCAACTTTGTTGACTGTGAACTTCTCAGTGCTTCCAGGATCAGAGAGAATTAGCTTTAAATAATCTTGATCCAGGTTTGGAATGAAACACTCCCATTCCATGGCCTGAACTGAGCACCAAGGGAAATTACTAAGGTTTACAAATAGGTAAACAAAACACTTAACTACTTTTGGGGGAAAAACACACTCAAGGCCTAATTATGCATTGTCAGGATGTTTATTTTAAGGCAGGTTTAACATTCTGGGGAAACATTTATTTTAAAATGCTGATTGTCTAACACATGTAAATAAATGAAGAATATATTGTTTGAGTGACCATATGTGCATCCATCCATACATATGAATATGCATTAAGTATATTTCGTTACCTGTATGGCATCAATTGCTAGTTCACTGTGAAAGTGACCATCCAGTATTTCTGGTTCCTTCCCTTCTTTCCACCTTGTGACTTCCACTTCCAGGATTTTGCCTAGCCAGTGTTTCACAGAGCTCTTTGTAAGAGATGGAGAAAACCCAGGAACAGCTGTTACAATTATTGCATTTATACCTCGTGTTTCTTCCTCTTGCAAGAAATCCAAGGTGGCTTACAAGGTTGTCGTCTCTCCTTTTTATCCTCATAACAACCTTGTGAAGTGAGGTGGACTGAGGTTGACCCAAAGTAATGCAGTGAGCTTCATGCCTAAGTGGAGACTAGAACCCAGATCTCCTGAGTCCCAGTCCATCATTCATAGAGCCAACCAAAGGTGTCTGGAGAAAATGTGAGGGCCCAGAGAAGTCTTCTCTCTCCTACCAAAGGACCCATGCTTTGCATCCCAAAGATCTCAGGTTCAGTCTGCATAGAATCATAGCACAGTAGAGCTGGAAGGGGCCACAGGGCCATTGGGTCGAACCCTCTGCTCTGTGCAGGACTCCCAGCTAAGCCATCCCTCTGTTGGACGTCCAGTTGCATCTTGAATGCCTCTAGCATGGGAGACACTACCACCTCCCTTGGTCATTGGTTCCATTGTCGTCCTGCCCTGCAGTCAGGATATTTTTCCTGATATCTAGTTGGAATTTGGTTTCCTGTAACTTGAGCCTGTTATTCCATGTCCTACGCTCTGTGATGATTGATAAGAGATCCTGTCCTTCCTCTCTGTGACAGCCTTTCAAGGACTTGTGCTCCCGTATCTCCTCTCAGCCTTCTCAAGGCTAAGCACACACAGTTTGCAAGGAAACGTTCCCTTTCACCACTGCAGTCCTGCAGTTAGGACAAACATGGGGAAATGGGGAAGGCCACTCAATTCAACCCACTCATAGCAGATGAACTTACTGTCTTTGCCTGTTGCTTTTTCCTACTGTGGAAACGCTGGCACAAACAGTGACAGACCGTTCTGTAAAGCTATGCACTGTCCCTGCACGCACTGCCAGGAACACAAGGGGGAATTTTAACTGGATCCTCACTTGTGCTTAGCACGTAATTTGGTTTCTGCTGGTGCAGCATCACTGCTGCTCCCGACCCACAGCTCAAACCCCATTCGAGCCACTATATATGCTTTTAGGTTAACACAGATGAGTAAATGCAACATTCTGGGATAAAGAATTAACAGGCCTCTTACTGCTTCGTTAGCGCGGTATGTGGCTTCAAGCTGTTCCACCTGTCTGGATGACAAAAGATTTCCAAGGCTGCTCTCATCCAACTCTTTTGCTAAAATGGGGTGGTTTCTGATTTGGCTGAAATAACCAACAAGAAGAACAAGTTTTGGTTGAGGGTGCCCAGTGACATGTAGTCAAAATCCCCAAGAGAAAGCAATTGCAAATGTAGGCTTGCTATACAGGTGCTGGGATCCTGTGTGAAAACTGCCCCTACCATGTGGCCAGCACTTCACATTTCTGACTTGTTATCAACCTTGAACAAGCAGTTGATACTTGCAGAAGTTCTTTAAATGGGAATTTAAGTAGGGTGTTTTGTGCATTCGCTACCAGAAGGGCAGTGGGAAAAGATTCGAAAGGAATTTTTAAAACCACTAGATGAAACCACTGTTTGCCAAAGGCAAGGAATCCGATCAGGTGCTGACGTTTCAGCTAAGAGGGCATCCTTTGTGATGTCAACGAGGAAGGCCTGCTTTGGAGTAACCCTACCCCGCTATTGTTTTGCTTGCCACAATACTCAGCGAAGCATGGCAACGTTTGCAAACTCACCGTGTGCTCTTGGCCCCTGCCAAGCACTCACTTTACTTGGCACAACCACCGTTTTCAGCATTCTTTGGAGAATTCAGATATGGAGAAGAGTAACAGCTACTCTGATCAATGGAACATAGGACACTGGTCTCACTGGGCCAACTATTTGCCCAACCATATCACTGTATCTGCTGGAATTGGTGGGAATTCTAGCAGAGGTCCTTCTCACCACTTGCCTGAGCTACAGCTTTCCCTAGAGGCAAACATGACAGAGCCAAGGCCATCCTACTTTGGGCAGATCCTGAGAAGGCAAAACTCTCTGGAGAAGACAATAATGCTAGGGGAAGTTGAAGGCAGAAGAAGACAAGGTGATGGATGGACTCCTTAAGGGAGCCATTGCCTGGAATTTACAACGGCTGAGCGGGGCTGTCATGGATAGGACATTTTGGAGAGCTTTCATTCACAGGGACACCCTAAGTTGGAGATGATGTGATGGCACAAGTGGCGATGCCTGGAATGAACCTGGCCCTTTTGCTTGCACCCCTCCCATTGCTACAGAGTCAACTTCAACTACCTTCTCTGTAAAGTTGGGGTGTTGAAACTCTTGTAGGCTTTCCTCCTTGGAGCACGGCCACTAAGGCCTTCTCCGTGATGGCCCCGCCAATTATGGAATGATCTTCCCACTGAGGCACAGCTGGCTTTAATGCTGGCATCTTTTTAGCACCAGGTTAAGGCTGTCTTCTGTTCCCAGGCATTTAATGTCATATGATGGGGCATTTATATCAGTGACCTTTTAAACTGGTCTAGCAGTAGTATTAAATTGTTCTTGGCTATTTTAAATGTTGTGCAGTGAAATTTGTTTTAAATTCATTGTATTTGTTATGTCTAATTTTATGTATTGTTGTGAACTGCCCAGAAAGCTTCACAACAGTTGGATGACATAGAAATGAAAGCAATAACAACAACAACAACAACAATTTAGCCTGCGGTCTAAATTCAAGTTTGGAAAAGTTCTCAGTGCTGTTCAGGACTGTATGCAAAGAGAGGCATGGCAGAAGGGCTGAGGCCAAAATGCCCCAAATAACCCAAATTTTAAATTAAAGCTCTTGGCACATCTTAAGACCTAGGATAGAAAGTATTATCATTATTAATGTATTCAGATCCTTTTTCCTATTGCAAGCCCTCTTTCATGTCTTACCTAGTTCTTCTCCATTCCATTTTCATTCTCACAACAACCCTGTGAGGTAGGCTAGGCTGAGAATCCAGGACTGGCCCAGTATCACCTAGTGAGCTTTATGGAGGAGTAAGAGCTAGAACCCAGGTCTCCAGTCCAACGTTTTAACCACCACATCACATTATTTCTCAAGAGGATGACTTATGTGAGGGTTAAACAACCTTTGCATAATGCATGGGCTGTTTGACAGTGGTTTAACCCACATATAAGCCACGCTCATCAGGCCCACGTGACACGATAAGCCAGAGACTGCCTGCTGTGACTTCAATATTTAAGAGGGCAGCAGACGCAGACACAGGGCTGTGGTGAACCATGTAGATCCAGAGACTATCCCAGTTTGGGTGTCCACGATCCCTGGCTGGCAAGACTCACGGAGATGCATGAACCAGCACTTACTTTGGATACAAGTTCTGCACCCAGGTGAGGAGGAGGTAAGTGTCGTTGCTGCCCAGTTCAAACCGAGCAATCATCTCCAGCTGAGAAAAGAAGCAGTGATAGTAGTATTTGGCGTAAGTGGAGCACACTTGAAAATGTTCCGGGTAATGAGGTTTGATGTATTTCACCACCGTGATCAGGTCCTCTTTCATGGTGCTCCCCATGTGCAGGAAGCTCTGAGCTGTGGCAGAGAGGCCCTCCTTGTTGGCAGTTGGTGCTTTCATTCGCTCCACGACAGACGCTTGGACTGTATTCCTCCACTCCTCCTTCCAGTTCCTGATTTGGGAAGGTGTGAGTTGCTCCACAGCCTTTTCTTCGGATCCGACTCTCTCATCCTGTTCCACCAGGTCCACCATCGTGCGAATTGCATCCTGCAGCAATTCTGGTTGAGAAGACGCTATGACGACTGAAGAGCGCAGGACACTGAGGAGCTTTTGCTTCAACAGTCCAAACAGAGATGGAATTTCACTCCAATCTTCCACCTTTACCTCTTCGTTTTTGTTGTCTGAGTCACCATTAGCCACTTTCTCCATGACAAGCAGATACTGACTTGCTTTGAAGAATTTCTGATTCTTAATTAGCTCCCTGATTTGTTCAGCTGGCAAAATGAAACAAAGAACATCATGGTACTGAGTAGACTTATGATTAAGACAACCCAAATTCTTGCCTGCTTTTCCTGGCCACCTGTACATCACTGGTCCATGTTGAATGGGGAGTCAAACTGAAGCTCACAACAAATATTTTTTCCACCACACCGATCAGTAACTCTTGGTGCAAACTTCCGCTGGCTTTCCAGATAGAGAAAATATTTTGAACCTATAATTCCATGAGCACAAACTGGAGGAAAGGGCAGTAACAAAACACCTGCACCACTCCATCCAGTGCTTCCTTTGTGGGGTTCTTGTTTTGACACCAATATAGCTCGGACACAACTATCTTGAAACACCAGCAACAAATGAACCAACCAACCAACCACCAACTAACAAACCAGCTAACTGGCAAACAGAAATCTTAGACTCCTGGACCCTGCAGCCAACGTATTCAGGAATGAAAGCCTACTCTGATATTATTAATGCTGCCCATTTCCTCTGCTCCTCTTCACATCACTGGCTATTGCCAGAGGAGGGCGGAAACACACCATGCAAGGATGCAGAATAGCAAGGTAAGTGAACTATTATTATTATTATTATTATTATTATTATTATTATTATTATTGTTATTATTACATTTCTATGCCGCCCCTTGCCGAAGCCTTGGGGCGGCTTACAACACAATAAAATACTAGACACACGAGGAGGAGGGGCAAGAGGGAAACCTGACACTGGGATGCTGTTTTCAGTTGCAGCTCTGAGCATCTTCTCAGGAATACCTGCAGATATATCTTTGCATTTTAAAACGTCTCGGGTAGCAATAGTACTTGACTAAATACACCCAAAAACACACATGCTACTAACCAACAATACACACAAAGCAGTATACGTACCATAAAACAATGCAACATACATTTTATTAAAAGATTGAGCAAACAAGAGGACTGGCTTCACCTGGCATCTAAAATTACTGAATGATTCTCCCTGGGTAGGCAGTCCAGAGCCAGGTCCCACTAAAAAGCAGGTCTGCATCCCCGGCCTCACACTCAGAAGGCATGAGAGAGACGGAAGGGGCTTTCAGGAAAGGATGTAGCAGCTGGTCAAGTCTGCTGCCAGCCGGATCCGTCTCTCTTTCAACCCCCGTTATTGTGTTCCACAACCAATAGAACTTGGAAGGAGTTTGCTCTTTCTTGACCTTTTAGTTGGCCCCAAGAACGCAGGGGTGGCGATTTTGTGGGGCTTGAGAGCCACTTCTGACCCCAGACTTCCCCCTCCTCTTGGCTGCACTCCTATCACTGCTGTGCCACCGCATTCATGTGCAACAAGCCATCACAAAGGGCCAAAATGTGGCTGCTGACCCTCAGTGTTTTGCCACGGATTTTGGCAGCAAGCCATCATTTTCTGCCACTGGTGCCAGACATTTCAGCAGTGTGGTGGTGGCAGGTCACAGGTGGGATGGGGCAAGGTGGGATGGGGCATGTGCATCCCTTGGGCTGCAGATTGCCGACTCCTTCATTAAAGGTCTTGCCCAAATGTACGTTTGGGCGAGGCTTTTCCCCAGTGGATTTGCAGAGAAGTAAATTTCAGTTGGACATTCAGAAGCACACACCTTTGCTCATGGAACCAGTGACCTAGAGAAGGGGCGGTTTTCTTATTATGTGCACTATCTTATTTTCAAGCACAGACTAGAGGGGAATGAGCTAGCTCCAAGTCTCTGCATCTAGTCCTTGGCTGGATTAGTTGGCCTGCAACAGGAGCAGTCAGAGAACAGATCTTCAGATGCTTTGGACTTCCAAAAATGGAGAGGGCCTTCTCGATGATACCTTCCCACAATTATAGAACAACTGCCCTGGTCCCAACAGGGTCATCTTTCCAGCCCCAGATTAAATGTGCACTCGTCTGCTCTCAGCCATCTGGCAGCATGTGATAAGGTTTTAAATGGGGTCCTGGGATTTTTTACTCTTGCTATGTGTGTGTTATCTGTTTATATAGATACTGAGAGCCAATCTGGTGTTGTGGTTAAGAGCTTGGGACTAGGACTCAGGCAATCCAGGTTCTAGTCCCTGCTCAGCCTTGCAGTCAACTGGGTGACTTTGGGCCAGTCAAAGACCATCAGCCCAGCCTACCTCACAGGGTTGTTGTTGTAGGGATAAGATGGAAAGCTGGAGAAGAATTGTGTAAGCTGTTTTGAGTGTTTTAGTAGGGAAAAAGGTGGGATATAAATCAAATAAATAAATAAATAAATAAATAAATAAATAAATGTATGTAAATGCCTTTTATATTATAGGGAATATTCTATTTTTTAGGTTTTTAATCTTTCAAATCTGCCCACAGAAATTTGGCTATTGAGCGGTTATTAGAATGCAGTGAACGATGAGCATCTGCCAGTATGCTGGCAGGGCCTTTTGGGAGGTAAACTCACGAAGGTCTGGAGATCCAGCTTCAGCCCACTCACCCTCTAACTCTGTGAAAAGACGGTTTTGGGAAGAGGAGGATCTTAAGTGGTGCACAGGTTCATTCAGGGACAACCCCCCTTTCTGTATGGCTGTACTATACCTGTAATGGGCTGGTTTATTTCCTCAACTTGCTTCCTTTCTTCATCCTTCTCTTGGTCTTGACACCCATTTTTCCCAGGCGTCTTTCCAAAAAAGACCTTGACTAGTTTCCCCTTTATGCCCTTCTTGTGCTTCTTCTGCCCAGGGGTGCAGGGGCTTGTCCCACGGTCTCCTGGAGGAGAACCTGCAAGGACTTGTTCCTCTCTGGCGCTCCCCTCTTTCATGCTGTCCCGTGGCTGAGCTTCCTCCGTTGATGATTCCAGGGACATGGAGTCGGGTTCTGATTCGGATGATGTCAAAGGCTTGGGGGCTGCCTCACCTCCATTCTTGCCTTCTTTGGCTGGATTCGGAGGACTGCTATAGAAAAAAGCCATCATTTTTATCATCTTCCTGTCTGGAGCCTGCAAATCACATTAAGACATGGTCAGGCTAATCATTCAATAAGCACTCAGACAAATAATCCAGCAGCTCACCAGGAAGAGGAAAAACTGCCTGCCTGCAGCAGACAATGCAAAAAGCCTTGATTACCTGCTGCAACAAGGTTCTTTTCCTCATTAAAACTCAAATAACAACACTTACCATTGATAGGACACCCTTTCTAGAATGGCACCAAGATTTACATCACAGTTCTCAGCACGTTTAATCTGAAGCAAGCCCTACTGAGAGAAAGGGGACTTACTCATGAGTAAATATATACTCCTATATTTTTATTTTATACTGATAATTTTAATTTTGTATTTGTAAATCAATGTATTTTTTTGTATTTTTATATTTAATGGTAATTTATTATGTACTATTGTATTTCAATGTATTTTATCATGTTGTAAGCCGCCCCGAGGTTTCGGCAAGGGGCGGCAT